GAGAAAGACTACTCACTCTGTGTGTAACCCCAGTAAAGCTCAACAGGCCTGTGGCCTGCCCCAGCATGGAGCTTTAGTTAGAAGAAATGCCAGATAGAAATGGAAAATAAGTGAAAAGCAATCTCTTTACTGATGTCACATGAAAAATGTCCAATAAAATCAGTATTTATAACACCAGTAACATATCCTAAATATTTAGAAAACCAGTAACATATCCTAACATATCTCTTTCATTCTCAATTAATTTCTCTCAATATTCTCTTTCTTCTCCCAGACTTTACAATCCTCTCTAAAAACCTGGTCTGGGAGGGTTCATTGAGTTTCTCCCACCCCATCCCCCTTTCCTTCTCCCTCTCAAGGAACCGAAGTATCACTGACTTCTGCCACTCTCACTTTTTTGCTTGTCAACAAGGCTTGTTCCTTCTAGGATGAGAGTCAGTGGGGATGCGTTGTGGCTGAAGAAGACACTGTGAATATTCGTATGTTTCTTTTACCCTCCCCCAAAACATTTGTATTAAATGGACTTCTCATGGAGTGGTAATAAAATGACATACTCTTTATTTTGAAGTCCATATTGCTGGCTCCCAACTTATATTCTTACATCTTTTCCATCAAATTGAATATCCCACCAGACCAAGGGATAAGCTAAAGGACTTCAGAAAACATTCATTTCCCCTGTTCCTATGAGCTATATCTGGAAGTCAGAGTAACTAGAAGTTTGGGCTTTATTTTGTCACAGTCTCTTCAGTGGAGCTATTTTCACTGACTGAGTTGATAGGTTTACACTAGAGAACCTAAAATTAATACTGGCAGTGTCTTTCTCTCTGCTACCTCACAAAAGATAGCTCTGGTCTACTGGTTTAACTATTGCCTCTAATACAAAAAGAGAGCCCTAGTTATTGTTAGGGAAAGCAAACTGAAGTTGCTTTAATTCATATTGCTGAACATTTAGCTGAGACCTTTGGCTCGTGATGCAATTTCCTGTTTAATTTGTTTGTAAAGACATGACTACTGTGTGAAATTAGTAGACAACCCAGTTCAGTCTCAGGTAAAATGAATCATGGAAAAACAGAATTCTCAGGCTGTCTATATTTTCATCTGCTGTAGTGAATTTTCTTTGAAAGGCTTGGGAAAGTAGCAAGATCTCAGACAACATCTGAAAATGACAGATATCTAAAATGCTTGCCAGACGCAAGTGGTTTTACACATGCTTTATGGGAAAGGGTGTTTTTGTGTGGCCCATCTCTTTACCTCCAGACTCCAATCTCAGTTACGTTGCAGGCACAACCATATTCTAGACTTGATTTTACATTACAACTTTTCTCTTTGTTATTTGTTTTTAATATGGTAGATGGATCATCTCTGAGGTTTTCGGATATTTACATAATATGTTTCATTGTATTTTTATAACCTTTCCTAAAACAAAGAAGGTCTGCCTGCAGTATCGGGAAGGTTGAACTCAAAATCATCCTCTGAACCACTGAAAAAAGGGAAATACACCAAAGCATGTTGAAACAATGTTTTCATTGAATGCCCCTCTTCCCAAGAATGACAAAAATCACAATGTTCAACGGTTAACACAGGACTGGCAAAGTTGAGCCTTGTGATCTCCTCTCTCCTATTCTGCCTGACCACCATGCCAGCTGTTTACATGGACATTATCCTGAATTAAATCTTCAGTCTTTTCTTCCTCAGAGAAGATTCAGCTAGGTAGGATAAGCATGAAAAACGAGAGAAAATGAAAGCCCTTCCTTAATTTCAATTCCTTGTATCCTTTGCATCTGCAGGTGAACAAGGACATTGTGTCAGGCTTGAAATATGTTCAGCACACCTACCGCACTGGGATGAAAGGTAAGGGGTCCCACACATCACATTCTTCCACCCCCAAACTGCTTCTCCCTGATACTTACGATTTCTAGTTATTTACAGTTTTTAGTCACAGACACACAGAAGAATCCAATTAAAGCTGTAGACACTCATCCTAAGAAAAGATGCACATAGACCTCTGGCCAGCATTCAGGAGTCTAGTCTAGGTGGGGTCAGCCACCAACCTTCAAGCCTTCAGCATCTGGAATTCAACATCATTATTCATACAAGGGAAGAGTAACCAAGATAATGAAATAAAGCACATAGAAATGCCCTCAAAAGTAAAAAAAAAAAAAAAAAAAAGTAGGAGTAAAACCAAGTGCCTTAGATCCAGCACAGGAAAGCCCTGTCCCTGTCCGTGTGATAACTGAAATAAACAATACAGCAACATTGTTTACTCTGCTGTTGCTCTCATCATGCCTTGGGAACCTCCTTCAGTTTTCTTCCATTAATACAGCAGAGCAAAGTGAGAGGTGGGGAGGTGATGGAAGAAGCAGTTTTACAGTTTCACCTTCAGGGCTCTCTTCCCCAAGGGTGGGAAAAAGGGAAGCAGAGGTCAATTCCACTAAATTAATAAACCAAGGTTAAGGGAGAAAATGTCTGATAATTTTGCATGACATAGAGAACCAATTAATTTAAAGCCTCGGGAAGGCTGTTAACCTGAAAGATACAGATTGGCCTTTCCTGACCTAGTCTCATGAAAAAATAGTTTCATTTTTTATTTTCCATTTGCACGTAGACACTAAATTGACGTGGTTAGGCAAGAGGATGATGTATCCATAGCTGTAAACTTCAAATTCACCATTTAAAGACCAGCTACACTCAACCTTTTATCTTTATTTACGCTGCTTTTTAGAAAGAAAAGATTTACTTGAAAGGCAGAGTAACAGAGAGAGAGGGAGAAACAGAGACAGAGAGAGATCTTCCATCCATCAGTTCATTCCCCAAATGACCAGAAAGGCTGGAGGTAGGCCAGGCAGAAGCCAGGACCCTGGAACTTGGATCCTGGGTGGCAGGATCCCAAGCACCCTGGCTGTCTTCTGCTGCTTTCCCTGGCACAGAGAATTGATTGGAAGCGGAGCAGCTGGGACTTGAACTGGAGCTCATACAGGATGCTGACATCACAGAAGGAGGCTTAATGTGCTGCAACTAAACGCCAGCCCCTATACTACTCTTAATATACAAATTTATCCTGATTACTTGCCTGTAACTAAATTTGGGTATTTACACCATTTTTCCTAGTTTTTCACTTTTTTCCCCTTCTATTTACTTATTCCATCCACGAATTCTGCCCATTCTGATTACAAACTGCTATCATATCTCTCCCGACATGTTCATTGAATGACAGTTTATGGACAGAAAATATTTGAAGTTCATTATATAGAAAAATAGAAGCCCAGAATTGCCATGTGACTTTAAAAAATGATATCCTGTCATTTGTAACAACATGGCTAAAACTGGAGGATATTATGTAGCATGAATTAAGTCAGACATAGAAGGACAAATACTACATGCTTTACTCAAATGCAGAAATTTGAAAATGTGATTTCTTAGTTGTAGCAAGTAGAAGAATGATCATTGTAGGCTGGAAGAGAAGGGGAAAGAGGGATAGAGAGAGGACTGATAATAAGTACCAAAATACAGTTAGACAGGAGGAATGAGTAATAGTAATATATGGCAGGAAGGCGACTATAATTATAGCAATTTATTACATATTTTATAAAGAACTAGGAGAAAGGAATCCAAAAGTTTTCAATGTAAAGAATTGATAAATATTTAAGGAGAATGAAGTGCTGATCATTATGCAATGTATCAAATTATCACACTGTACCACATAAATACATGCAATATTTTTAAAAAGCAAAACAATTAAAAATATATATGCTGCTTTAAAATGTGTTATGTGACTTAGGTTTTGCAGGGCTGAGAGCAGAACTCAAATGTCAATTTGTTTGGGATTTTTAGTGGTCTACTCTGCTACATCTCCCTAAAAGGAGTCTTGGTCCCCGTGAACTTAGGGCAAAAGTCCCCAACTTTTCCATGAGTCAAAATAAATTGTGATACTTTCTAAAAATACTGATTCCTGGGAACCCTTGGCAGGTTTCCATAGCCTATGTGAGTGGGGCAAAGGAAACTATATTAAAAGATATTTCAATTTTGGAAAACAAATTTTAAAATTGCCCAGGTAAAACTGATGGTTAGCTAGGCTTAGACACTATTGCTGTTGGCTCTGACCACTGTCAGTGGTCCAGTTCACAGTATGTATTTCCTCTATGGAACTGTTTCTCTAATGGACTTTTCTTTCTTCCCAGTGGATAAAGTAACCTTTATGGTTGGCAGCTACGGGCCTCGGCCAGAAGAATATGAGTTCCTCACTCCCGTTGAGGAGGCTCCCAAGGGCATGCTGGCCCGAGGCACCTACCACACCAAGTCCTTCTTCACTGACGATGACAAGCAGGACCACCTCACCTGGGAATGGAATCTATCCATTAAGAAGGACTGGACAGAATGAGTGCACTTGCCTGTCCCTTTCCCCACCCTTGCCACTTGTAAGGATTCTCCCCACCATGTTCATCACCCTGTCCTTCATCCCTGTTCACAGCTGGGTCCCTTCTCCAACAGTCCCCACATGCCACGCCCAGTGCATTTTGTCCCACCCTGGCTCTTACAGCTTCTTGAACTAGAGACTTAAAACCTAGGCTTTAACTTGGCCTGCTCTCTCTGACCACCCCTCCGCTATCGAGGTCAGATCTTCTAAGTTCACATCTCAACACAGGATCCTTTCATGTTTCCCTCTCTTATTTCCATCTGATCAACTAAAAGCCAGGAATAGGCAAGTTGATCACAGTCTTCCTGCCGTAGGCCCCTGTAGCTCATTCCCACCCCTGGATTCTGTTATGATTGCTGCTGGTTCAATGAATTCCCTGTCACATCCACTGCTGTTGGGGTTCTTTGTGGGACACACTGTAAACAACAGAAAAGAATAAGAATAAAACAATAACTATTATGTTCTGCCTGAGACCCTCATTTCCCTCCTTCTTCCTTTGAACAAACATGGTAACAAAACGGTTCACACTGGTGAGTTCCCTGGTGCAGGAGTAAGAGAGGTTACACAACAGAGGTATTTTCATCCTTGGGAACAGATGGGTACCTTTGTTACAATGCATTGAGCCAAGAGTTTTCAGAATACAGACAGTGGGAAAATGTAACATTATATTTGCATATGGATTTTCTCCTAAGTTTGAGGCCTTTCTATCCCACTGCCTATGAAAATCTCACCTTGGATTATACACAGACACTTATGGGCCCCATCAAACATTGTCTCTCTCCTATGTAAGACCTTTCAGTGGGTTCCCATCACCCACAGAACAAAGTTGGTGCTCGTAAGCCTACCTTATCATATAAAACCTGCCTCAAGCTGGGCCCAGGATGCATTTCTGACAGCATGTATCATTTCCTTTCTTTTCATAATCCTTAATAACCACCAGTACTTTCACACTTTCATCTCTGCACTTTGGCTTTTTATATGAAACTGCCTTTTGTTGCCATGCAAACTCTTATTTACCTAGAACTCTGCTTGGGCATCCTGTGCAGGAAGAAAGCCTTCATTGAACCCTACTATTGTCCTCAATGCCCTCATAAAACCTTGTGACTTTTTCTATTTTTTCCCTAGCTTTCCATTTGACATTTGAATGATCTGTTTGGCTATTTTTCTTGCTAACAATCTAAACTAGAAGAGGCTGGAGGAATTAGAGTTATCTTTGTATCACTACTGCTTAGGTCAACACCTGGCACAGAATTTAAATGAACTAACCTGACTTTTCTGGTTGGTTATGGTCTGAGGCCTTGGACTGGTCTTTTATCTCACAAGCTGAAGGTTCCCTAGAGCCAGCTGCGAGGTTCCCAGAGCACTAATAAATTCACAAGCAATCAACTGCAGAACAGGCTGCCCTGAAGCTGCATCACCGAACACCAAGTCCAGAAGCAAGAAAACAATGGACATTGCCCAACCAAGGAGCTGGTTTCTTTCCTTTCTCCTCGTGTGTGTGCTAGCCCCAGAAGTCACTGCAGAAGCTGAGGCAACTTCAGGTAAAGGAGAATGAGCTTTAGTGAGATAGGATGAATGTGATGTTGGGAGATGGGCTGGGAATATGGCGGTTCTCTGGGTACTTTTCCTTCAACCTGGAAAAATTTCCAGAAAATGTTCGATCTGCTAATAGAGAGGGAAGTCTGTGCTATCCTTCAGAGAGAGAGATTTTAAGGTGGGGTCACCCTCCATATGTTAGAAAAAAATATTAAAGCCTTGGAATGATGACAGCACTTCTAGGAACTGTGATCTCTTTGGACTTGGTATGAAGAGAAAAGGTATATGAAATGCACTCATTATTAAGAGCTACTTCTGATCCATTCTCTGTATCTAGATGGCCCTACTGCTGCCCAGGATATCACATGGCTCACCGATGTCCCAGCCGCTATGGCGTTCATTGCTGCTGCTGAGGTGGCCCTCATTGGCTTCTTCCAGGTACCCCATCTGCTTTTCCTCCAATATCCAGAAATGTTACACTTTCAGGGAGCCATAACAGTCAACTGCTGGCCGAGTGACACTACATTAAAATCAGGGGCTCTAACATCTTCTCTTAGCCTGTCAATTGAGACTTCTTAATTTCAAAACATCCTCAGTGTCTGAATTATGTTTTTCTAGCGTTCTGAGTATACTGGCTTGTCTCCCCACCTACAGACACTTTAAATCCCAGTCCAGTATCTACAGGATGAAAACTTCCATTGAACATGACTGTTGTCCTAAATGTCCTTCGTTTTCATTCTCCTAACACCCAAAGAATAGGCTGAAAGCAGATTAAACCCAACTTCTATCATCCAGGCATCACCTTTTTATGGTGTGCCAAAATCTTTAAGGATTAGTCTGGAACTGCCTCTGTCTAAAGTATTTCCCCTAATGGCAGCCCTTCAATCTCCTTTTTTCTTTGCCTTCTTGAAAATGTTTGTAAAGGGGTGATATTTTGTATACTTAAAGTGTTAACCTCCATCTTCCAGTTTGGCTGCCTGGCTAAGAAATGCAGCCGTAAATAAGAGAGCACCATTCCAGGGTTTTCATCTCTCTATGCTGGTAGCATCTGGCCATTCTCTCAGCTGATAAGGCACCTATTCTTTCATTTCAGACCTTCTAGACTGTTTCCATTCATTAAGTCACCCTGTAGATTCTGTGCACACAGCTGGAAGTAGCTACAATGAGATGTAAATGGGGGAGGAAGACAGCGAACACATTTTCAGTGTAGAAAACTACAAGCTGCAGGCAGAAACAGCCACTTTCAAATACAGGGAGGGGTAAGAGTGGAGTCTAGTCTGCAGTAACTTCAACAGCCACCAGATGCCCTCATTGGATCCTGGAGCAATTCCATTAGAGGGAACAGAATAAAAATGAGCAAGGCAGAATGAAAAAGAGCAAGCCTCAGTTCTTGAAGCTCCTAGTGAACTCCATCCATCCTTTCTGGACAGCAGGGTACTAAGTCCCTTTGCCTGACCCTCAGGGCCATCTTCTTCTCTCTTTGCACATCCTCTTCTTTAGTCCAACAGGATGCAGGGGAAACTATATTCAGCCCTGTTTATTTCCCAGAGTTGTTATAGACAAAGGTCCCATGACAGCAGGAAAAAGGTGCCAGGATTCATGGAAAGACTAGAATCATCATCTAGAAGTGGCTTTCCTGGTCCCTCCTGCAGGCCTGGGTTGCAGAGTTCGATACATGAACAGTATTTTCAAGTGCAAAGCACAGGCTTATCTAGAGAGGAAGGAGGGGGATTACTCTTCCACATCCAGCACAAACTCTTAACTTTAAACTTGAGAAGCAGAGACACAGGTAGACACAGAGACATAAAGACAGTCAAACAGATACACAGAGCTCTCGATTTGTTGGTTCACTCTCAAATGCCCACAGAGGCCAGAAATGGGCCACAGACAAAACTAAGATCAGGGAATTTAATCCAGACTCTCACTGGGTGTCAGAGACCCAGTAAGTTGAGCCATCACCTGCTGCCTCCCGAGGTCAGCATTAACAAAGAGAGTGAGACACAGCCAGGCATCAAACTCAGACATTCTAGTATAGGATGCAAGCGTCATAACCAGCATCTTAGCTGCTAAGCCAAATGCTTGCCATTTGCACAAGGTTTTTAAAAAGAATCTTCTAACCTGAATTTTAATTGCTTTTTTTTGTTGGCCCTTTTTGACAGCATCTATTTCTTAGTTCTAGATTTCTTCTTGTCTCTACAAATCGTTCCACAGCATTTGTCCCTGTAGCAATATTAATAATAGTGCAGCTAATTCTGTAGGTCTCTATGATTTTGAGGCTTCTCTAAGCCATTAGAAAATTTTAAGCTCTGGCCGGCGCCGCGGCTCAATAGGCTAATCCTCCACCTTGCGGCGCTGGCATACCGGGTTCTAGTCCCGGTCGGGGCGCCGGATTCTTTCCTGGTTGCCCCTCTTCCAGGCCAGCTCTCTGCTGTGGCCCGGGAAGGCAGTGGAGGATGGCCCAAGTGCTTGGGCCCTGCACCCCATGGGAGACCAGGATAAGTACCTGGCTCCTGCCTTCGGATCAGCGTGGTGCGCCGGCCGCGGCGGCCATTGGAGGGTGAACCAACGGCAAAAGGAAGACCTTTCTCTGTCTCTCTCTCTCTCTCTCACTATCCACTCTGCCTGTAAAAAATAAAAAATAAATAAAATAAATTAAAAAAAAGAAAATTTTAAGCTCTATGATAGGACCAGACAGGGTCCCAAGCTTAGCCATAGTTTTGGTAGTTAAATGTTAACTCACATAGCATGAAAAACTCAATAATGCCACTGCAAATTTAGCTTTTATTCTTAGAGGTAAATATTTCACCGGAAACCAAATGCAGTTTATTATTTCTAAGATTAGTGAACATTTTTCTCTTCCATATGTGTGTTTCATTCCTCCAAAATAACTTCTCAGGATTTTATTCTCATTTTAGGATTTAGAAATACCAGCAGTGCCCATATTCCATGATATGGTACACAACTTCCAAGACGTGTCATTTGGAATCAGCAATAACTCCGAGGTTCTGGCCCACTACAACATTACTGGGAATACCATTTCCCTCTTCCGGCTGGTAAGTTGGGTGGGCAGCTCGAGGCTTCTCCCAGTTTATCCTTAGGCAGTAGACTCACAAACTTGTGAGACTGGAAAGAACTCTGTGTCTTTGACATTAATAACAGAGTGCCAACTTCAGAGACATTGTTGACAAGGACGATGACTCAATGCAAATTTCCCAAACAGGTGCTGTAATGAAATGAAAGGAAGGCTCAACCAGGAGGCAGGAAATGGGGTTTATAGTACTGTTTTGTTGTTGGCCAGTCACATGACTTTGAGCAAGTCACTTAACATTTTTTAGCTTCAATTCTTTCATCTATAAAATAGAAATGTTAGGCCATATCATCTCTCTAAGTTAATTTTGAGTTCTAGAATTTTATATTTTTGTATCGTCAGAAGTTGATTTCTGTGGGTTTTGTTGTTGTTTATTTGTAAGGAGAGAGAGAGAGAGAGAAAGAGAGAGAGAATCCACTGGTTAACTCCCAAAATGCCTGCACCAGCCAAGAATGGCTCAGGCTGAAGCCAGGAGCCTGGATATTAATCTGAGTCTTCCATATGGGTAGAAAGGACTCAAGTACTTGAGCCATCACCTGTTGACTTCCAGGACTGATATTATTAGGAAGAGATCAGAAGAGGGGCCAGGACTCAAAACCAAGCATGCCAATATTGGATGCTGGTATCACAACAGTATCTTAACTGCTGCACCAAATGCTTGCCCCAGGAGTTGATTTATGTGTGTCAAACATTTTTTAGAGAACTACTGTGTGCCCTGTCCAAGATACTGATAGTAGGGGCCTGTGCTGTGATGTAGCGGGTAAAGCTGCAGAGCATCCCATATGGGCACTGGTTTGAGTCCCAGTTGCACCACTTCTGATCCAGCTCCCTAATAATGCATTTGAGAAAGCAGAGGAGGATGGCCCAAGTGCATGGGTCCCTGCACCCACAAGGGAGACCAGGGAGAAGCTCCTGGTTTCTGGCTTCAGACTGGCCTGGCTCCAGCCATTGCAGCCATCTGGGGCACAAACCAGTGGGTGGATCACTCTCTCCCTCCCACTCTCTCTCTGTTACTCTGCCTTTCAAATAAATAAATAAATGTTAAAAAACTATACAAGATACTGATATTATAGACATGTTAAAAATATTCTCCACTCTCATAGTTCTTAAGAGTATATGTGGATACTTCAAGAAATTTATGTAAAATGGAATTAAAAGATAAACCTATTGTTGTACCAAACATTTTTAAAGCCCCTGCTCAATTTTTCTATGATATACATTTCCACATACTTTTTGAAGACTCCTTATAAGCATGGGTTTCAACTTTTTTACATCAAAATAGACTTAGCTTTTCACAAGACTTTTCCAAGAAATTTTTAAAGATTTATTCTATTTATCGAAAACCAGAGTGACAGAAAGAGAGGGAAAGGGGCCGACACAGTGGCATAGCAGGTAAAGCTGCTGCCTGCAGTGCTGGCATCCCATATAGGCGTTGATTCAAGTCCCAGCTGCTCACTTCCAATCTAGCTCTCTGCTATGGCCTGGGAAAACAGCAGAATATGGCCCAAGTCCTTGGGCCCCTGCACCTGCCAGGGAAGCTCCTGGCTCCTCACTTCGGATCAGCCCAGCTCCAGCCAATGCAGCTATTTGGGGAGTGAACCAGTGGATGAAAGACCTCTCTCTCTCTCTCTGCCTCTCCCTCTCCCTCTCTGCAACTCTGCCCTTCAAATAAATGAATAAATCTTTAAAAGGAAAAAAAGGAAAAGAAGGAAAGAAACAGAGAGAAAAAGAGATATTCCACCTGCTGGTTCATGACCCAAATGGCTGCAACAGCAGGGGCTAGGCCGGACCAAAGCCAGGAGCCTGGAACTCCATCTGGGTTTACCTTGTAGGTGGTAGGGACCCAGGTAGTTGGACCATCTTCCACTGCTTTCTCAGGTGCATTAGCAAGTAGCTGGATAGGAAACAGAGCATCTGGGACTCAAACCGGTGCTCCGATATGGCACATCAGCATTGCATGCGGCGGCTTAAACTACTACACCTCAACATCGACCTCTTTTCAAGAATTTTTATAAAGTACTCTTGTAGTAATGATTATAAATAGAATATTCAAATGTCTATAATACAAACAGCATCACTACAGAGGAAATGCTTGAAGGTTCAAAGGATACGAATTGCATGGGAAGTATGAACAAAAAATATATCTATACAGACAACAACTGACCTAAGACTTAAAGGACAGATAAAATTGGACATTATAAAGGAGGCAGCAGCTTGACTAGAAACCTCTTGTGGAGAAATTGGAATATTTAATTGTTTATACTTAGTTTCATTGGCATTGGAACACCCCTAATCCTTAGATCAGGGGAGTAACATGACAGAAATGTATTTATCAAGAACATTTTGGCAACCATGAGTAGGATGGATTCTGAGATGACAAGACAACATAAGTGACAGCTTTTGTTTGATAAAAGAGACCATGTGAGATGCGTTAAGGATCCATAGTAAGAGAGGTAGCAACAGAAACCAAAGAGAAGACAGATGCTGATACGAGGAGACGTGAGAATCAAGAGAAGGATCAGGATATCTAGGCACAGTGGAATCATGTACAAAAATAGGGACTTCTGATGCTTTAGCTGGTTGCTGAGTTTTAATTGCTTAAGGAATGTCAATGTAAGGATGAGAAAATTGGGCAAAAGATAAAGTTGCAATATTTCTATCTTCCCCTTTCCAGCTTCTGTCCTCTCTATCTCTGTCACTTCTTATCCAAGCTTTTTTTATGTTGAATTTATATTTAGTGTCTCAACTTTCTTTAAGCTGAACACTACTATCTAATTTATGCCCTATTCCTCCACTAAAACTATTTCCATCCAGCCAGCACAGCTTCTATATTGCCAAACTCAAAGAATACCTTTTAGGTCTTATTTTACTTAGCAGTTATGCCACATTCAACATTATTGATTGATGTTGTCTTTAATAATCACTCTTGAGGGGTGTGAATTTTGCCTATTGGTTAAGATACTGTAGTTAAGACACCCATGTCAGGAGTTTGAAGTATTTTTTTTAAAGGGAATATCAACCTAGACTATTTTTTTTTAAGATTTGTATTTATTTATTTGACAGGTAGAGTTACAGACAGTGAGATAGAGAAACAGAGAGAAAGGTTTTCCATCCATTGATTCACTCCCTCAAATGGCTGCAATGGCCGGAGCTGCACTGATCCGAAGCCAGGAGCCAGGAGCTTCCTCCCCGTCCCCCATGCAGGTGCAGGGACCCAAGGACTTGGGTCATCCTCCACTGCAGAGAGCTGGACTGGAAGAGGAGCAACCAGGACTAGAACCAGCGCCCATATGGGATGCCAGCGCAGCAGGCGGAGGATTGACATAGCGTGCCACGGTGCCGGCCCCAAGACTATTCTTGAATAATGTGACCCTATTGCAAAATTTCTCGTACCTTCTTCTAATTAATGTCTAATTAATGATAGACATTATTACAATGTCCTACCATTTAATTCTCACAAGAATCCAATGGAATAATTATTTTCAATAAAGAAATTAAAGTTTCACAAGATTGATCCAGTTGCCCAAAGTCTCACAATGGTAAAGTAATAGATATCTGATTCATGTTCAGCATTGCTAACCCCAGATCATAACCTTTCTACTAAAATGGCGGTACTTCAAAAAGTTCATGGAAAATGGAATTAAAAGGTAAACTTATTCTGACACAAAAGAATCTTGAAATCTATGCATATGAGGGAGAGGTGTTGAAAAAGTTCAAAGAACTTTTTATGAAAAGTTATTATGAAAAAACATCTTCACATGAATTCCAAAATTTTAGTTTAATTCCATTTTCCACATGCTTTTTCAAGTACCCTTGTATTGGCTTTCTATAAAGCACTTAACCTGGAAGGAAACCTCTGTTTCTCCATTAGAGTCTATCTACTCTAATGTCCCTCTTCAAATGTATCCCTTTTAAAACTACTTTCTCCTAAACTGTTCTTCTAGTCCCCTGACATAATTTAATCAATCCCCAGGATCATTTTTTCCAGATTTAATCTAGACATTGTATATTTTCATAAAGAAAATTCAGAACTTAGACTCACAAATCTTCAATTGTAAGAATAGATTTAGAAAAAAAAATAGATTTAGGCTAGGGCCGCAGCTCACTAGGCTAATCCTCCGCCTGCAGCGCCGGCACACAGGGTTCTAGTCCCGGTCGGGGTGCCGGATTCTGTCTTGGTTGCCCCTCTTCCAGGCCAGCTCTCTGCTGTGGCCAGGGAGTGCAGTGGAGGATGGCCCAAGTGCTTGGGCCCTGCACCCCATGGGAGACCAGGAGAAGCACCTGGCTCCTGCTTTCGGATCAGCGCGGTGCGCCGGCTGCAATGCGCCAGCCGTAACGGCCACTTGGGGGGTGAACCAACGGAAAAAGGAAGACCTCTCTCTCTCTCTCTCTCTCTCACTCACTGTCTAACTCTGTCTTTCAAAAATAAATAAATAAATAGATTTAAAGATAAGCTGAAACCATGATGCAAAGGAAAATAAAAAGGAATTGGTGTTATTGCATGCTTGAAATGTGAGATAAATGAAAGGCTAGAAAATGCTATATTTCTGGAACATATTATTCTCCAAAAATAGTGCAACTATATAAACTGGATCAGAAGGAGTTTAGGTAAAAGTCATACACAATAAAAAGTTGCACATGACAACCCAGCTGTTTGACAACACAGCCTGTCTTTTGTGAGTGTGACAGCCACGAGTCTCTCCACATTCTCCAGCAGGACTCTTAGTGTTGCCCTAAGAGAGATGTAATCCCTGGCCTGAATAAACGATGAGCCTGTCCTAAAATAGAATTCCAAGTATTATTTGAATATTTACCTTGCTTCGGGTTTTCTTGGTCACTTCTATTTTAAGTAGCATAATTAGCCTAAATTTGACCCAATGGAATAGTAATAGAAACACAGTATGTCTCTCTTTATTCCTTGTACAGTTATTTATTGGGTGCCTATTACAAGAAATGCACCTTATAAGACAAAGAGAATCAGAATGCACTAGCATGTTAAGAATAAACTGATAAAGAAACATAAGCAGCACTACTTGTGAAATTATTAAGCATTCTTTTTTCAAGTACGTATTTACCAAATGATAGTAAGCTGAGCATCTTACATAAACAAGCTCAGGGATGTGAAGACATTTGTATCACAAAAGATATTTAATACTATAACTGTGGTATAAACTAAAATGATTTTAATATATTTTATGAAAAGCTTGGTTGTTAAAAAAAAAACAACAAAGGAACTCATAGTAATATTGCTGAAATGGTAGTGAATAGGAAAGGTGTGATTAAATCTTATTGCATAATAGATGTATCTAAACACAATAATGTACTTCTGATGCTCTTGGGGGAACTGAAAATCATATTGTAAAATGGTAATACTCCTAGTTTATTGTTTCTGTTTTTCTTCTGGTGCCTCTTCTCTATGGAGAAAAACAATATAACAGCTCAACTAAGTTCATTCCAAAAACTAGAAAATACATTTTTTTAAAAACGTGTTCCTTAAGTAGACGTTGTGTATAGTGGTTCAGCAGTTGCCTGGACATCCACATCCCATTTCAAAGTGCCTTCACTTCTGACCCTGCTTCCTGCTAAGAAGCACTCTAGGAAGCAGTGGAGACAGGTCAAGTACATGGAGACCCAGACAAGGTTCCGGGCTTCTGGCTTTGGCCTGGCCCAGCCTTAGCTGTTGTGGACATTTGAGGAGTGAACCAACAAATGGAAAATCTCTCTCTCTCTCTCTTTGTATTTCAATAAATAAAAATTTTAAAATGAATTTATATAGCACTGAAGAATAAAAACAAATATTACCAATTATTGCTTCAGGGCTGAATTCTCTTTCCACTGCATTATGCAAATAATTTCCATTGCAGAAGGGAGATTTCCTGTTCAAATGTTGCTTCCAGAAACCCTATGCATGATGTTCCAGAGTTTATTAGTTTAAGAAATAATGAAATAATTGAGCATGTTTTCTTGACTGAAGCACACTGGAGAGCCTGCAGGAGGGCGGTTTCCATTAAAGCCCTGTTGCTGCTTAGAGAATGCTATCATTGCCCAAAAGTCTGCCTGCAATGTACCACATTCCTTAAGTCCAGAAACACCTGGACTAAGTGGTGTTTCCTGTTCTCCCAGTTCTGGGAAATGTAAGCACTGCCTGGAAAAGCAGGCAGGGAAGGAGGGGCCTCCTGGCTCACAGCACAGCCTTGTCAGCTGCGGCACACAGGCTCCACGCCCGAGACTTCCTAGAAAAATAATCAGGAAACATTTAGACGTATTAAACATTAGAAGGGCTCAGATTGTTGTTACAATAATGATGATCTTGGTGGTGCAATAGCAAAGCCTTAAGAATGAAGGAGGCAGGCCAACTGGTAAACCACATCTTTACAGCAAACGCCCACTTTTGTGTGTGCTCATTTTATTTAGCCCTTTTCACTGATGTGAACAGGGTAGGAATGAGGGGAGCAGTAAAAGGTGGGCAACAACTCCTTCCAACAATTTTTCTCTTTTCCTATTTCTTTCCAATCTTTCTACTCAGAACTTTGTGAGTTTTCAAAACAATGAAATATACAAAGGGAATTCACAAGTTTGAAAAATCCAAACAGTAGCTTAAAAGTGAAATAAAACAGGAAAAAAACAAAACTAAGAAAGATTTTGACTTACCAATTTGTCAATAACATTAATAGAAGTACACATCATAGCATAGCAGCATGATTTGCAATAATCACAATGTAGAACATATTAGTACAGAGAAACGAACCACAGAAATTAGAGATGATAGATGCAAAAATGATGGAGAGATACATGGATGATACAGAGAAGATAAACAGATAGAAGATGGACTATATTAGATACAATATTTGCTCTAATAAAGATTATATATTATACAGGTTATATATGCACATGTAAAGAAATATATTCTGAAGTATTGACTCATGTGACTTTTGGAAGCTGTGAAGTCCTGTGCCATTAGCCTGCTGGAGATTCAGGAAGGCCGGCAGTATAGTTTGAAGGCCCAAGAGCCAAAGAGCCAAATGGTATAGATTCACTCCAAGTCTGAAGGCCTGAGGCTCAAGAGAACTGAGGGCAGGAAAAGATCCATGTCCAGCTCAGACAATTGGGCAGATGGAGCCTCTAACACATATTTCAGAGAAAAGTAACCCTAAAAGCAGGGGTCTAAAAATCCATTTGAAGAAGTAAGAAAGTGAATTCCAGGTAGGTTTTAGGTCTATTGTGAAAGACAAAGTAATATTTCCAGAGGACAAAGTAGAATATCTTCTTGACCTCTGTATAGTCTAAACGTTTTAAACAAAATAAGAACAAAAGTACAGACTGGCTATAAAGGAAGAATATGCCCTTGAGTACATTGAAATTACCTTCTGTTCCTAAGCAGTCACAATTAGAAGGGAGGTGCTCAATAAGAGAAAGATATAATGCAAAACCAACAAAGGGCTCATATCCAGAATATACTAAAAAAAAAAAAAAAAAAAAAAAAAACTTTTGAAATCAGAAAGAAAGGGACAATTCAACAACAACAAAAAATAGGTAAGTGACTTGAATAGACACTTCATGAATAGAATATATAAGTGGTTAATAAGAGAAATGCATTTAAAACCACAATGAAATATTACCATTTACCCACCAAAATGAGTAAAATAAGAAAAACTACAATATCAAGTGTTGGTAAGGATATGACCTGAGGGGAAACTTCAAATAGTATTGGTACAAGTGTAAATTATTATACACTTTGAAAAATAGCTTTGGATTTTCTACTTGTGGAATAGATGCATATCCTATAATCAAAAGTTTCAATCTGAGGTATATACTCAAAAGATACACAGATATGTGTACTAAGAGACATAAATAGGCTGGCGCCGCGGCTCACTAGGCTAATCCTCCGCCTAGCGGCGCCGGCACACCGGGTTCTAGTCCCGGTCGGGGCGCCGGATTCTGTCCCGGTTGCCCCTTTTCCAGGCCAGCTCTCTGCTGTGGCCAGGGAGTGCAGTAGAGGGTGGCCCAAGTCCCTGGGCCCTGCACCCCATGGGAGACCAGGATAAGTACCTGGCTCCTGCCATCGGATCAGCGCGGTGCGCCAGTCGCAGCAGCACGCCGGCCGTGGCGGCCATTGGAGGGTGAACCAACGGCAAAGGAAGACCTTTCTCTCTGTCTCTCTCTCTCACTGTCCACTCTGCCTGTCCAAAAAATAAATAAATAAATAAAGTATTACTCATTTAAAAAAAAAAGAGACATAAATAAGAGACATAAATAAGAGTGTTCATTGCAGTCTTGATGTAATAACAAGGAACAACTTAAGTGTACATCAACAGTAAAATGAATAAATAATGTTTAATAAGATAATGGTATACTCTACAGCAAGGAAAATGATCAAATTACAGGTACATGAATAATATAAGGGACTCATAGCAAAATCTTAAATAAATGAAATGAGATATACAGACAAAAATATAGTTTGTTCACATTTATGTAATATTTTAAAAAGCAAGGTAAAACTATAACATTAGTATGTCCCTTTTTAAATGATAAAGCTATATGGCCGGCGCTGTGGCTCAATAGGCTAATCCTCCACCTAGCGGCGCTGGCACACTGGGTTCTGGTCCCGGTCGGGGCGCCAGATTCTGTCCCGCTTGCCCCTCTTCCAGGCCAGCTCTCTGCTGTGGCCAGGGAGTGCAGTGGAGGATGGCCCAAGTGCTAGGGCCCTGCACCCCATGGGAGACCAGGAGAAGCACCTGGCTCCTGCCTTTGGATCAGCGCAGTGCGCCAGCTGCAGCACACCAGCTGTGGCGGCCATTGGAGGGTGAACCAACTATTCTTATTTAAAGCCCCCTCCCCATCACATTTATCTGATGAAGTCTTAGCCACTGTTAGGAGTCCCTTCTACCTGGAAGCCGTGTAGTGCTCCTCCTTGAGTGACGTGTGCTATGTATTTCTGTTAGGCCGTCACAAAACACACCAAACACTGGAGTAAGGGAAAGGGTTTACTGGGGAAAACCCAGCAGACTGGAGGGAAGTGGTGAAGAGGGAAAAAGGGAGAGAAGGAGAGTATAAGAGAGACAGAGAGGAGAGGAGCTAGTGAGGAGAGAAGAGAGCGAGCAGAGAGAAGCGAGAGGAGGAGCCACGTGTTCAGGAACAGGTCCTTTTAAAGCTTTGCCAGGGGGAGGGCAGGGAAGTAGGAATAGCGAATCCCATTAGAATGGGGGTGGAGCTTAACACTGGTGGTTGGGCCATGTGGCCATCTGGCTTTCAGCAATGGCGGCGGGAAGCGGGGCATAGGATGTAAATCAGGGTATAGATCGCACCATAGATAAAACTGAGCCAGTTCCCCAACAACGTGGTCCTGTGATTCCCCTTCCCCATGTCACCTGCCATTTTGTATTGAATGCTTCTCTTCACTTCTCCATATCTTATCCGATTATGTTTCTCAAGGGCAAGGAACTTTTATTTTCCTTTCTGTATTTAGCATGTTACCATGTGGTAGTCAAGCAACATTTATCAATGAATAAAAAAAGAACAGTGACAATTTTATCCTTTCTTGTATTACCTAGGTGGATAATGAACAACTGAATTTAGAGGGCGAAGACTTTGAAAACATTGATGCCAGCAAATTAAGCCGTTTCATTGAGGTCAACAGCCTCCACATGGTGACAGAGTACGGCCCTGCGGTAAACAATCCCCCTTGCTCTCAGCCCCATAAATCCCCGTGCCAGCGAGGGAATGCGTCTTAATAAAGAGCTTCTTTCCTCCTGGGGTTCTGATCTTTGACTAGGGTCGGTCAATAATTAAATACTTAGTATGTTGTTTATGTTACCATTCTTTCTACAACTCTTTAAGAATGATTTACCTGTCCCTATTAACAAAAGCAGACATAAAATCAGAAAACTTAAGCACTATATTGCATCACCAGTAAGAAAAGAGAACAAGAATGCAAAGTTAAAGAAACAGATTCAAAACTGTGTGAGTGTGTCCACTGAAGGCAACTCTCAGCTGGCACCTCTGTAGACCACACTTCTCTAACTACACTGAGGTCAGTACTGAAGATACATTTTTCCCCTAAAGCACTGTGATCAACACATTTATCAAATACAATCAAAGTAAATGACAAATGAAATTTTAAAAAATAAAGCCAATTGATCACATACATCAGTTATATATATGGCAGAGCAATGCAAACTTCTTATAAAAGTTTCTAAACATGTATTCCTCTTTTCTGTATATACTTCCTTGCTGACCAGTAACAGTTCCTGGTCTGGTACTACCTACAAACCTCACTTTCACTAGACTCTCAGGATGTCTCCACCTTACCTCTACATTTTTCTTCCTCTGCTGTTGTATTTTGCATGCCATCAGGGTAAAGATGTTGATGCACCTGCCCTGATCATCTTCTGGCTTGTAATCTCCTCTATGGACTATAGAATTATGTTACATGTATTGCCTTTCATTTTTCCTGACATAGATGATGGAGTGATGGAGTATTAATTTCTAATGATCTACATCAGCTCAGAATTGCTTCACATTCTCTAAAAACAATACTTTACATACATGTTAAGATTTTTACAATTTACAAAGCTCTTTCACACTCATTTTCACATTTAATCCTCACACTGATTTTTTTTTAAGTAGGAGAGAGGAAATTATGATGCTCATTTTACAGAGAACATTGAAGATCTGGGTGACATTATTCAAGGTCACATAGTGAGACAATAGAAAAGGCATAATTCAAGGCAGAAAATTTAACTGATAATGCACTAGCTTGTATGGCCTAGCTTTATTTTACTGTAAAGGAAATGAGAGTTCAGAAAAGTTAGGTAACTTCCTCAAGGCCATATGGCTGGAAATTTGAGTTTCAGAGAGAATGAAGCACTTGCCCTTGCTGTTTTCTTGATGGGTCTGTATGACTGAATCCTGTGGTTATTCTATTGCTCCACACCGCCTTCAATAAAAACATCCCTTTTCCTGTTGACTAAATTCTTGTCCATCTCTTACACCACATTTATCAATACGTAGTATTCACTCTATTTCCACTTCTGCCAGGATTTCAAACACACTCCTGGGGTGTTGGCAACAGTGACACAGAAGGCATTGTTGTAGACCATTGTCATTCTGGTCATTGTGTGTATGGAGCTGCCAGAAGTGCACATGGGACCAGAAAAAAAGATCTCATCATCCCTGAGATGATGAGTTCAGTGTCCCAGAATTCTGCGGGCTAGTGAGGGCAGGAGCAAAGAACAGCCCACACAAGTTCTTAGGTCTTGTCCATTGCTCATTTTACAGAACAATGACCTATTTTAATTTTTGTGTTATTAATGGATGCAAATCACATCAAGAAGAAATTAGGTTAAGTTTTTTTAGAGAAGCAAGTTCAATTTTTATTATTTCTTTAAAAATTTCCCATCAGTAACACTTTCCTCATTTGTAGGGCTATTTCCTAATTCATCACTAGCTATTTCTCTCTGTTGCTGGTGCAGAGGTTTGCATCAGCAGCACCTGGGTAGAGAATCATAATCATGTACTGAGCCTACCAAATGCACACACTCTATACATGGCTTCAGGTGTAAAGTTAGGCTGTATCTTCTAGGGCTAAACTGATCCCTCTACTGAGACAACTCTACCTGTTGGCTCCTTAGCTTTATTATTTGCCTATTCCCAAGAGTTATCCTCCATCTCTGCTTCAGCAGAGGTAGTGCATGCCTTCAATTTAAGTAGCAAAATCTAGTACAACAGGAGTTGAATTATTTGCCATCCTGCCTACCAAATGTAATATCTAAGACCTAGTTTTACATTTCAAGGATGGCCGGCACTGTGGCTCACTTGGCTAATCCTCCACCTGCGGCAGCACCCCAGGTTCTAGTCCCGGTTGGGGCGCTGGATTCTGTGCCAGTTGCTCCTTTTCCAGTCCAGCTTTCTGTTGTGGCCCGGGAAGGCAGTGGAGGATGGCCCAGGTGCTTGGGCACCTGCACCCAAATGGGAGACCAGGAGGAAGCACCTGGCTCCTGGCTTCAGATCGGCACAGCGCTGGCTGTAGTGGCCATTTTGGGAGTGAACCAATGGAAGGAAGACCTCTCTCTCTGTCTCTCTCTCTCACTGTCTAACTCTGCCTGTCCAAAAAAAAATTTCAAGGACAATGATTTAGGAACGATCCCAGTGGGCTATCCTTGCCCACATGTTGGCCCCCTGTAGCCAATTAAGCTGAAGAATCTACGGAACAGTTTATGGCTTTAGGAAGAGGACTTCCTAGCTTTCTGCATCCCCATTATCCTGGGACTCTGCCCAGTGACTCATCAACCACCACACTCTCCCTTCCTATGTCCTTACTAGTTCTATAGCAATACTTTCTGCATCACCTGTAGCAGTCCTCTTCTAAATAATTGGCAGCTTCATGGGAACAAACATTTCTGACTGGCAAGTAAAGGCCAATACTTCTGATCTTCTAGAGCTCAACATCTTGCAGGCAGACTGATTAAGTCACAATCAGGGTTGGATTTGTGTACATGAGGTTTTGCCATCAGGTATTTATGGGACAGTCCATCTGATGGTCAGACTCATGGACCAGTACCCCAGTGTGAAGCCCAATACACCATTTCTGTAGCTTTGCGGGAATTAACCTATCTGTGCTTCAGTCTCCTCATTAATATATATATATATATATATATATATATATATATATATGGCCAGCGCTATGGCTCACTTGGCTAATCCTCCACCTGCGGTGCCGGCACTCCAGGTTCTAGTCCCAGTTGGGGTGCTGGATTCTGTCCCGGTTGCTCCTCTTCCAGTCCAGCTCTCTGCTGTGGCCCAGGAAGGCAGTGGAGGATGGCCCAGGTGCTTGGGCACCTGCACCCAAATGGGAGACCAGGAGGAAGCACCTGGATCCTGGCTTCAGATCGGCACAGTGCCGTCTGTAGTGGCCATTTGGGAAGATTTGGGGAATGAACCAATGGAAGGAAGACCTTTCTCTCTGTCTGTCTCTCTCTCTCTCACTGTCTAACTCTGTCTGTCCAGAAAAAAAAAAGGGGGGGGGGACCTTGAGACTTAAATTAGTTACTGTAATGTAAATAACTGGAAACAATGGTCTTATACAAAATAACAGTTATATATACTCATGGTTTCTTTTCCTCTTTTTAAAGATTATTTATTTTCTTGAAAGTCATAGTTACACAGAGAGAGAAGGACAGGCAGAGAGAGAGAGAAAGAGAGAGGTCTTCCATCTGCTGGTTCACTCTCCAATTGGCCACAATGGCCAGAGATGCGCCGATCTGAAGCCAGGAGCCAGGAGCTTCTTCCGGGTCTTCCAGGTGGGTTTAGGATCCCAAGGTCTTAGGCCATCTTCTACTGCTTTCCCAGGCCATAGCAGAGAGCTAGTTGGGAAGTGGAGCAGTTGGGTCTTGAACTGGCGCCCATAGGGGATGCCGGGACTGCAGGTGGAGGCTCTACCTACTATGCCATAGCGCTGCCCCCCCCCAATATGGTTTATTAACGGCCCTACACAGATCTGGCTTTCCCCAGAATGAGAGATATAAAGAGCAAGACAGAAGTTACGATGTGTTTTATGACTTAGCCTTGGAGGTCACACTCTGTCATTTCTGCAATATCCTCCTGGTTACTCAGTTCAGCCCTATTCAGTGTAAGAAGGAAGGAAGCTATACAGCTACATCATAAAATCAGACTTACTAAGAATCCTTATGGAAGCTAGTCCCATTTATTCTACTGGGGAACAGCTCTCAACTATATTTCAGTCTATGTCTTCATTGAGTTGTCACTAATGTTCTCTCTTCCTCTCTCCCACTTCCTTTCTACTATAACACATTTCCATTTGCCAGACTGCAATTGGCCTGTTTAGCAGCAATATTAAAATTCATCTTCTCCTGCTGATGAATAAGGCCTCCCCAGAGTATGAAGAGAATGTGCACAGATTTCAGCAGGCAGCTAAGCTCTTCCAGGGCAAGGTAAGTCAGTAATGGGATATGCCCCTTGGAATACCACCAAGATGCCAGGGAAAGAAACTTGGGGCCAAGAAGTAGAGATAAATAAGGAAACAGGTATGGGTAGGAGATAAAGTAAGAATTGGGACATAATAAATCATGTTACTTGAAATTAAAAATGTATGTTTATAATATTAAAGCTCTATACTATCATATCTTCCCATAGTGGTTAACTCTTTGTTTTCTGCATTGATAAGTGGAGAGAAAATAGAGACATGAAGATATTTGCTAAAATCAATTAGCGTGTTAGGATTCAGGATTTATTTTTCATATAGAACACTTCTCAAGAGCCTGATACCTGTTAGAATTCCAATGAACATGTATTTCCTCCTCTTCTTTCCTTTGTTAATTTCTGTTTTATGTCACTGAAATAGTAAAATTCAAACTACTTTCAGGTTGCTTCATTGAACTAGAGAGCTTTCAATTCATAAGAACTATCTGGTGGTAAAACAAGCCGTCTTTCTGATGGGTGGTTCCCTAACACTGAAGAATTCAGATTTATTGAATACAAATAATCCTCTGATTAGAATATTATAAATAAGGTTTTTCCACTCTGGGTAGAAGATTTGACTCAATAACTTTCAGGGGTCCCTCAATTATACAACCATAATTTAAAGGTCAATCATAGTTTAAAACCATTAATTAGAAAATTCAATAAACAGTTTATAAGTTTTAAGTAACTTTTATTAAGCATATTACAATGACTTTTCTATTTTTTATCAGCTATTTGAACCATAAATATGTATGTATTGGAAAAAGTACTATTTACAAGGTGTCTTCAAATAGTTCATGACAATGCATACTATGAAAAAACTCCATGGAATTCAAAAATGCCTGCACCAGAATAAACTTATCTTTTAGTTTTCCATTTTTTTTATTTAGTTAATTATTTGAGAGACACTGAGAAATATTCAGTCCTCTGTGTCATCACCCAAATACCCATAATATCCAGGGTTGGGCCAAGCCAAAGCCTAGAGACAGGAACACAATTCTTGTGTCCCATGTGGGTGGCAGAAGCCCAATTGCTTGATCCAGCACCATTAACTCCAAGGGTGTGCATTGGCAGGAAGCTGGAGCCAGAACTTGAACCCAAGTACTCCAGAGTGAGACATGGGCATCTTAAGGAGCATCTTAATCATTTGACCAAATACCTGCCCTTCAGGAACTTTTTCTAGTATTCACATATAGGTAGGTTTCAGTGCTATCTGTGGTGTCAGGTATTCACTGGGGAGCTTGGAATGTTTTTTCCATGGATAAGGGGAGACTAAAGTAGTTAACACTCATCAAGTCCTTACTATATGCCCAAAACTGTACTAAAAATATTAAATGCATCATCTCAATCTCGCCCTCCAAAAAAGTTCATTTTGTTGGGAAAACTGAGTTTGTCACAGAGCCTGTAGTGTGCCCAAAGTCATCCAGCTAGAAAATAAAAGAGGCAGAATTTAAAGCTTGTTCCCTTGCTTTTAACCATTAGGTTATACTTTCTTCCTTATATAACCACTGAAGATTCTTCCAATTCTATATTCTTAAATAATTCTGATCAAATATAAAAAATACTAGTGATACAAAAAAGAAGTTCATATTAATGCAATTAAGATTTAATGGTATAGCATAGACCGTGAACTTAATCCATATGAACTATACTGATTACAAGGTGTCTCTTTATCCCTAGGGCCTCAGATCTATCTTTTTTTCTTCCACACTCCTCCAACCACAGGTTCTCTTTATTCTGGTGGACAGTGAGAAGAAGGAGAATGAGAGAGTGATATCATATTTCAAACTGAAGAAGTCTCAGCTACCAGCTTTGACGATTTATCGAACTCTAGATGATGAGTGGGATGCACTGCCCATTACAGAAGTTTCAATTGAGCATGTGCAAAACTTTTATGATGGATTCCTAGAAGGGAAACTGTTGGTAAGTGTGAGACTGCAGGTAGAGAGATGGAGTTTTCTTTCTCTCTCTTTTACTTTCTGTTCAATAAGAATTCTGGCCAGCGCCGCGGCTCACTAGGCTAATCCTCCGCCTTGCGGCGCTGGCACACTGGGTTCTAGTCCCCGTCGGGGCACCGGATTCTGTCCCGGTTGCTCCTCTTCCAGGCCAGCTCTCTGCTGAGGCCAGGGAGTGCAGTGGAGGATGGCCCAAGTACTTGGGCCCTGCACCCCATGGGAGACCAGGAGAAGTACCTGGCTCCTGCCATCGGATCAGCGCAGCCCGCCGACCTCCGCGGCCATTGAAGGGTGAACCAAGAGCAAAAGGAAGACCTTTCTCTCTGTCTCTCTCTCTCACTGTCCACTCTGCCTGTAAAAAAGAAAAAAAATTCTTTGGGTGTTTTATCAAGAGCATATAAGGACATGGTGGTCAGAGGCAGGTTTCTCATTAGGATTAAAGTTGTGGGACCCAAGCTATACAAAAACATTATTGAAAAGATATTTCATATTCAAAGGAGCTGGATTTTGAAGTCTGCCCTTTTGTTTAAGGTTTCCATGGTGAGGAAGAGGAGAGCCTAATTCCACATGAAAGCATTCATAAGATTAACAATTGAAGGTGGATTTAGGACTTCCAGGAATAATTAAAGAACTCTGTTGGTTAAGCTTAGAATTGGTAAACAAGAGTAAACTCTGAATCTCAATATCAGTGTTATGATGTCTTTCAGAGAGAAAATCATGAATCAGAAGAAAAGACTCCAAAGGTGGAACTCTGATTTCTCCCTGATACTTCTGCATACTGCCAAAGTGTCTACTTTATGCTGAATAAAAAGGGACAATTCAAACCTCAGAGACACTAAACAGGATCCCTAGGCCTTCCAACCCCTCCCCCATCAATGCACATATCAAGCTCCACCCTGTTCCTTGAAATCTCATTTACTCCCATTCTCTTTCCTTCTAAATTTCCTGTATTCTCTCACTACCCACCCAATTTCCTATTATGCATTCATATTGTATAGGCCCATCTATAATGGATGCAAGCTTCAGAAGAAAGACTAGCAGATCTTATTAAGGAGAGGCATTCTTAGAGATTGTTCTGACCTGTCATTAATATTGAGTTTGTATATTACTAAACAACAGGATCCCTAGGCCTTCCAACCCCATCCCCATCACATGCACACATACTACACATAATTTACATGACACAGTTTCTGCTCTTTTAGGGTTCTCTAAGGGTTGAAATCCTGTCTTTCTTCATAGATACATGTCCCTCTCTGATTCAAGGCCAAAAACAAAAAGATGGTTTTAAACACCACATTGAGACTGTCTTCTTGTCAGAAATTGAATGATATCTCCAAGTCTCTGAACTCAGCAGGAATATAACACAGAAAAATTGTAGGCTTATTTAGCACTCCCAATTCCCCATGTAAATCAATGACCCATGTAATAAATCAGGCAATTATGTTATAGAAAAAGACTGTCATTTTTCAGGCCAAATCTTTTGTAAATATCCAGCTGTCCAACTAAACAGTGTATGCCTCACCCTTCAGTTCCCACTGTTTAGTATCAGTCCATAAGCCATTAATGTGTTATTGTTTACTCAGGGGGTGGGATGGGTGATAGGTAAAGACCATCCTGCATTAGAATGGGCCCAAATGTGGTAAAGGATCTAGGAGCTGAATCAGGTAAAAGCCTGCCTGGTGAATGAATAGGAGATGGGGAGCACTTGGCGCTGGGGCAGGCTTGGGCAGACAAAGCAGCGGATTATTGCAGGTGAGGTGTATAACCAGCTCATGTGGTGTGAAGGGATAGTCTGGCTGAGTGTCTCTAGCCCACAGTCTCTTACTGTCAACACACAGATGCTACATTGTGCCCAGGAGGCCTTTGGCCCAGAGGAAAGTACCTAAGTGCTGAAGAGCTGAAAAACCACAGATGTGCACCTTAGGACTCGTCCAAGTGAAGAACACAGAGTGAAAGGATTGGTTGTTCCTGAATATGGGGAAAACTCCACAGGCCTGGGCTGGCAGCCAGGTGCTGGCAAGAATAAGGTGAAAGCAGCAGTGCACAGCAATATGAGACCCAGGGGTTCTGAGGAGGTCATCCAGTCCACCCCAAGGCTGCATAAAATTGCCCGAGGTTGAAAAATATTCCTAGTATAGGTCCATCCCAGAAGGTTCACTTTGGTCCTCTTAGCCAGAACTCTTCAAATTTGCAGTCAAGAAATTCTTCCTGATATCCAGCGGAGGCCCTCTGGCCAAGCAGGTTCCTCCTTCTTCATTTCTCTCCATGGAAATTATGAATACCTGCCAGTCCCATCTCCAAGTGATGCACTCACTTCCTGGTGGACTGCTTTTAAGTCCTCTTACCCAGTCTTTACCGTGCTCACTATCCAACTCTTTCATTTTTTTCTTCATTATTTTCTCTTTTCCTTCTTTACAACATTCATCCCTTCTTCCTTATAACACTAGTAGCTGAAACTGTTGTAGAGATTTGGAAAATGCTAAAAGATAAAGTCCCATGAGTAATATTTATTCAATATTTGGTTAGTTTTTCAATCATTTTACTTAAAGTGCCTCCTCAGTAACTATAGTCAATACTGACAACAAAGATATTTTCATATTTACAGGGATTTTTTTGCTGCCTGATAAAATTCAATAGCAATTTTACTATAGATTCATTTGTATATTTATTTGCATGTTTATGGTACTGAATTGAATTATTCTTTCTCAGCTTGTAGCTCTCCGAAACTACCAGAAACTTTTTTAGCTTTTCACAGTCAATCTTCTTTGTAGCTCTGGAGACTGATGACCAAACAGGAAAGCTTCTTTCTTGAGAAAGAAGAGATTTCCAAAGGTTCTCATCCATTTACTGAAGATCAGATCTGGTATTAACAACTTCTGTAATTTCTATATCTTTCTCAGTCTCTAGGCAATATCTTTCTAAGATTCTACATTCATTTCCATAAGGCTATATAATTGTTAAAGTATCTAGACAAATCTCAACCATTTTCAGGATAGAATTAAGTGGTAGAAACAGGAAGAACTCAAAGGAATGACAGGGAAATTTGGGTTTGAATCCCACCTTTACTGTGTATATGACTCTCTGACTTTGAGAACATCACTTTCTATCTTTGAACTTCAGCTCATGAGTACAACACAATAGGGTTTTTTGAGATTTCAGGATGATAATACATACTGAGTAAAGTGTGGTCATTACTTGTTTTTTCAATTAATAATGCATTGCCTTCCCTGAGTTAACAGTCACATCTCCATCAGAAATCTTGAAAAGGAGAGATAACCTTCAGGGTCTTTTTTGAGTAAATTCATAAGAGAGGCCTTACAATTGAGACTGGAGAAGGATTTGAGATAACTGTTTTAAAATGTAGGTTTTATTATAATTCAGGTATAATGAGGAAACAATTGCCATTGAAAAGCTGGTCTTTGCTTCACAGTTACCTAAGTGAGGAAGTGTGCTGGCCCAAGCAAGCCTCATAGGGAACCCCCTGCACCAGCTGGAAGGCAGAGGGATGAAGGGGAAATTGTGTCCAAGGGCCTTTATTGCAGTTTTCATGGGAAGGTAGGAAGATTGAAATAGCTGGTATGAATAATTTCCCCAAGCTCTGCACCATAGGTACTTTCCTTTGGTTTCCCGGAACCTGGGCCTGGAATGATTGCAGCTGGTGGGTGGTGGTGGCAGAGTCAAAACTTCAAGAACACTTTGTTAATATCATAACTTATTAACATACTTGTCACAGTATTCCTCCCCTGACCCATCCAGTTAGGTCTTCATATCTGGCTCCTGTTTTTTAAAAAACATATACTTTTGGTGAGCAGGGGGTAGAATGGGTGCCAAGCAATATACTTGTGAGAAAGTTGTTTATTCATATACTCATTCATTCCTTTAAATACTTATTAACAATCTATGAATATATCAGGCAATATTACCTTCTAAGAGAGCAGGGCAAAGTTGGTCTTGGGTTATAAGCAATAGAACAGAGAAATTTCAATTGTAGTGACAACAGCAACATGGAAGCCACCCAATTGGCTCTGGGCTATGGACAGATAGCAGCAAAATAGAGAAAGCTGGATAGCAGCTTATAGACAAACTTGATTTCACAAATGAATTTGGAACCAGCTCTATTTATTTCAAATTTATAAAAATATATGGTTTTCTAAGCATAGAAAAATAAAACAGGAAGTAGGATGGATCTGATGTGGCTTGTTAATTGTACAACCTTTACACAGGAGACAGAGAGGCTAGAAAAAGGAAGAAGTTAAACACCAAACTACCAACTGAATTTTGACCCTTTAGAGAAGAGGTCCTCTAGAAATTGAATAAATGAATTCTAAAATCATGCCTCTACAAATTTGAGAGCAAATTTCTCTCCTTCAAACCATTTCAAGAATAGGTCCCTCTTTTCTTTGCATTCTGGAATCAGCAGTCATTATTTTGTGGAATTGACGGTGAAATGGCTATTGTGTTAGGAGTAGAAGAGAATGGGTTAGATGGGTTAGGGGCTTAAAATACTTATACAGGATATGAAAAGTTGTGTAGAATCCAGACTTCAATGCTTAATTGTCTAAATGACTGAACTGACTTTTAGTTGCAGGATTGAATTTCTCTTGGGCCTACTGGCCTTAATTTGGTAGCATGGTATTTGCCTAAGGAAGAAAAACTAGAATACTTTTTATATAATTCAAACTGTAGTGAAATAAGAATTTTAAAAATAACAATCCATGTTGTATTATAGGTCATGTTTCCCAGGAAGTAGACTATGAGACTAAATTCTCTTTGAAGTTTACTGTGGAGTACTCTTGGAAACTGTGGATAAATGAAGAAACTAAGATTGTGCCAAAGGAAACGTTGGGCTGTAATGGAATCACAACAAAGGCTCAGATAGCCCATGGGTATATCTGATGCTGAGATGGACTGGTAGAGCTGTCCCAAGTGGGAGAATGGATGTCAGGGCTTCTCACCCCAACATTGGTCATTAGATGAGGGCTACACATGGGAAAGGCGCATGCTCCAGGGCAAGATGGCTCACTTCAGCAGAAGGCAGTCTCTCCGTTGAAGGCTGAGAGGTAGGATTCATCTAAGAACTGCTAGGGGACTTTCTGTCCTGAGAGACTGGAGTGTGACCCGTGTGACTCACCACAGCAGTCAGAACACACTGGTTTAGGCTGTGTCTTCAAACTACCATAATTATTGCACCAATAATATGCATGAGAATGAGGAAAAGATGGATTTACTTTATTTTAAAAAATTAGGTAGCATCCTTAATTGAGTTGAAGTTGGGGAAGAATGTATGTCTATATTTTCCTCACAAAAGAGAACAACACCAGACTTCCAGGGGTAGCACAAGAGTGTTGATTACCATGCTCATCCATTCACTATCCCTTCATCAAGCATTCTTAGGCACCTAACGCAAGATGAAGATGCAGCAGGAAGTAGATCAAATCCCAGAAAGCACGATGTCCTCTTCATCCTTACCCCTCTTCAGGCATCTGATTCCACAATATAGGACAAATACAGGGAATATTCAAGAGTTCATGGAATATTAAGAAAAAACTTTGCATAAATTTCAGAATCTTTTAAATCAAAATAAATGTATATTTTAATTCCAGTTTTCCATGAACTTTGTGGAGTTCACTGGGAACAATAAAAATTTTCAGTGTACTCAGTAGACATTCAAATATTTTGATGATAACGGTGATGATTGTCAGTAAAATGCTGCTTTCTTATCTGAGGTGCTACCTCAACCCCTGGACACCATCTTAGGCTCTGACCCAGGTGCCACCTTGTACACTAAGTTCAGCCTCTCCAGGACCCAGCTTGGCTTACTAGGAGTCAGGTGACCAAATGGCCCAACCATAAGTGGCAACTCCACCCCCACTCAATCAGGATTCACTGTTCCCATTCCCTCATTCCTGCAAAGTTATAACAAGGACTGCTTTGCCACACAGGCCCTCTTTTCACTCTCTCCCTCTAGCCTGTCAGGTTTTTCCCATCAATAAACCCTTTCCCTTATTTCAGTGTTTCGTGTGTTTTGTGGGGACCTTTCATTGGTGCCGTGACTTAGACCCAGGCTCTCCCATCTATCTTGTTCTCCCCTCGGGGATTTGAGTTGCTTTGGGCTCCAGGATCCCCGCCAACCACAAAAGTCACCCCCGGGCCTCCTCCTTTGCCACCGAAAGCTCTGTGATTTCCATCTACTCACTGGCTATTCAAAATCCTGAGGGAAGTCAGGGAACGGGGAATCCTCCCACTGTGATCTCTACCCTGGGCTGTGGTTCCACTCTGCTTCGTCTCAAAGTCCTGGTACATGCACCACAGCCTCCATGGGCTTTACACGTCTCCACGGGCTGTACGTCTCCAGTTCCACAGGGCACAGGTGATGTCCCCACTCTCTGCTCCTGTACTCTCCATGTTGGACAGCCATGATCTCGGGGATGCCTGATATCAGCCAGTCCGACTCCATGGGTCGCTATGGGAGCTTCCTCATCCCGCGTTCCATCCAATTCTCCTCTCAATAATAATTTTGTTCTGCTCAGATTGGCTCCAGATCTCAAACACTGTTGCTTCATATTTCTTTGTAACCAGGTGTGACCCATGTATAATATTGAAAAACAATCCAAATGGCTGCTTAACGGCACATTTAACCCTGAAATTATTCAGGATCTTTAAACTGCCTATGTTCAAGCTTTCTCCTATCTCCATTCTAAAACTTGTCTCTGTAATACCCAGTATTGGAGGCCCACCTCTGCTGCCTCAACCTCCGTAGCCAAGGTGGAGGGAAAACCTTACAGACTTCTAACTTGAACTTGCTCTGCATAATTTAATACAGCACCCTTCTCCCATTCTTTTCTCATTATACCTCAATGTCCTACCCCCATGTTAGCAAGAGAAATACTCTATCAGTTTGGTGCTCAAGTGGTTTTCACTCTCCAGATATTGGCCCTGTCCTCCAGTCTACCTTCGCCTCCCTTTTTACTACTCCTCTCTCAAGACAATCCCATCCCAGCCACCCTGCCTACCTCAGGGCCCCTATCTACTGTCAACCCATGGGTATGGGACACCAGTCATGCTATGGTAGCGACCCAACATACTCCCATCCAGATAAAATTACAAGACCCCTCAATATTTCCTTCCCAGCCACAATACCCCCTACCCCTTTCCAGCCTTCAAGGTCTAAAACCTATAATTTCTAAACTCCTCCACCAGCTCCTGTTACACAAGACTAGCTCCCCCTATAATATTGGTGTTTAAAAAGCCTAATGGTCCTTCCATCTGATACAAGACCTCTGCCTTATTAACTCAGTGGTAGTACCTATATACCTGGTGATCCCCAATCTATACACCCTCCTTTCCTCTATCCTAGCAGTCATATCTCATTCCTCTGTCCTGGATATAAGGATGCATTTTTTATCATTCCTCCACATCCCAGTTCTCAGGGCATATTTGCTTTCACCTGGATTGATCATGACCTCCAAGTCTCCACTCAATTAACCTGGACCGTACTCCCCTCCAGGGGTTCCGGAATAGCCCCACCCTGTTTGGTCAGGCCTTGGCCAATGATCTAAGTACCCTGTACCTAGCCCCCTTCTTTCTTCTCCAGTATATCAACAACCTCCTCCTTTAAAGTGCCTCAAAAATAGATAGCGAACAACAGTTCTCTTCAACTTCATAGAAGCCAAAGGTTATCAGGTATCCTTTACCAATGCACAGCTTTGCTTATCTGAAGTAATCTATCTTGGGGTACATCTTACTCTCATCCATAAGGCTATCACTGTAGACAGAAAACACCCTATAGCTAACCTCCCATCTCCTTCTACCAAAGAAGAAATTCTTTCCTTTATAGGCGTGGCAGGATTCCTACGTTCACGGATTCCAGACTTTTCCTTTCTAACCAAACCACTCTATGAAGCCACAAAGGGATCCCTCCAGGAGCACCTCGTAGCCCCAGTCATCTCCCAATATCATAAATTACGACAGGCTATTTTACAGGCCCCTGCCTTACACTTACAGATCTCACACAGCCCTTCCTTATTTATGTCACTGAAAACCAAGGAATGGCCTTGGGGGTTCTCAGCCATCAAGTTGGTTCCTTTTTTGCTCCTGTAGCCTATCTCTCAAAAACATTAGACATCAAAATCAAGGGTTAAAGGCACCTTGTTTACAGGCGCTAGCCTCAGCAGTTGTTCTCATACAAAAGTAAAAAAAAAAAAACTCACCTTCAGCTCACCGCTTACCATTCTTTCCTCACACCATCTATCAGAACTCTTAACTTACAAGGGCCTCCAGTCTCTCCCACCATCTCGCATTCTGGCCCTTCAGGTGGTGCTAATTAAGGACCCTACCCTCATGTTGAAACCTTGTCCTCACCTTAACCTAGCTACTCTCTTTCCCCCTACCTCTCCATCTCCGGATCATGCAGCTCCTATTTACTCCTGCATTGAGACTATCGAACACTTACTACCTCACTCTTCAAACATCCAAGAGGGTCACCTTGTTGATCCTACTCTAGTCTGGTTCACAGATGGTAGCTCCACCTTTCGTGAGGGAATAAAAAGGGCAAGTGTGGGGAGCAACTCGGACTAGACTAAGTTACTGGAATTAAGACTTATTCTATGCATCTGCTCTCCCACAATATGGCGCTGAGAAGGGAGAAACAGCTTCTACACAGCTGCCTCCAGTTCAACCAATAAACTGTAGGACCTGCTCCTGATTGGAGGAGAGCAGCGTACTCGGCGTGTGGGTAGCAGAGTTGGGATTGGTGGAAGAGGACTATAAAGGAGGAGAGAGACAACATGCACCAGGAACATCTAAGGGGAACATCTATCTGAAGGAACACCTGTGCAGCCCCCGAGAGAGCCGGCCGGCGGTGTGCCACTCTCCTGCGGAAGTGGGGAAAGTGGCTAGGGGGAACCGCCCTTCCACGGAGGTGGAAGGGACGGTAGCCAACCCGGGAAGAACCAGCAGCAAACCCGGGGAGGGCCGAGCAGACGAAAGAACAACGCAGGGTCCTGTGTCGTTCCTCCACGAAGACGGGGAGCGACAGGCAAGATATGCTGTGGTATCGACCACTGAAACAGTTGAGGCAGGACTGCTCCCTTTCAGTACTACTAATTAACAGGCTGAGCTCTACACTCTAACCCATGTCTTTATGCTGGCAAAAAATAAACTCCCACTGTCTATACTGACTCAAAATATGCCTTCCCTGCCCTTATATCCCACTTGTCTATTTGGAAAGAAAGAGGCCTGCTTACCACTAAGGGTACAGCCATCTCCAATGCTACTTTCATAACCCCCTCCTAGAGGTGGCCCATTTTCCAATACAAATCAGTCCAATGTAATGCTCATCAGACTGATAACTCTGCCATCCTGGCTGGTAATAAGAGAGCAGACCAGGTGGCCTGTTAAATGACACTGTCTTCCTTTTCTTCCAGCTCATCCTGCACTCCAACTGCTATACTAACAAACTGCCCTCAAGAGCAACTACCTCAACAGCCCTCCACTCAGGCTATCTTATTCTATCTCTACCATTTTTTTCATCCCATTTCTTATTATCGTTTGTTAAACAATCCCTTCCTCTCTCAAAAGAAGATACTAAATGTCTTCAAAAACTCACCCTTCTTGTTCTGTATGTCAAAAAACAAACCCTAACTCTAACCTTCATCTTCCGCCCTTCCCCTCCCATCAGGCCAGAGGATACCAGCCAGCCTCTGACTGGAAGATTGACTTCATGCATATGCCTAGAGTATGGCACTTTCAATATCTCTTGGTACTGGTAAATTCCTTCTCTGGGTGGATCAAGGCCTTCCCAACTACTAACAAATGGGCACTAACAGTTTCCAACATCCTACTTCAAGAGATTACTCCCTGCTTCGGGGTCCCCAGCTCTCTCCAGTCAGACAATGGCCCTGAATTTACATGCCAGGTGACTCAACTACTTACCAAGGCACTAAACATCCCCTGGCATTTCTGTTTCCTTTACCACCCCCAATACTCAGGAAAAGTAGAAAGGGCAAATCATATACTAAAAACTGCTCTGACCAAGCTCTCCCTTGAGCTCTACTTGAACCGGACTAAAATAATCCCATTGGCCCTGCTCCATATGAGGGCCCTACCAAAACAACCTCCCAATATCCTTTGAAAGGAGGACAAAATGCAAAATGTTGGATTACCAACAGAACAGAACAACCTAAGGGGCTTTTGCCACATTACATTCCCTGCGTCATCATTGTAACTATCACTTCCACAGCCTCCCTCTCTACCACACCTGGAAATTCACTTCTTTGTAATTATACCTTACACACTTGTATCAACAGTTCTATGCCCATATGCATTGGTGATCCTTTTCCCCTATCTAACATTATATGACTACTCAGAGTTCCTTTTACAGACTAATCCCTCTACCCACAAGAGACGAGCGATCTTTTTCCCCCAGTTTTGGTTAGAATCAGCTTTGCAGCTTCCCTCTCTACAATGCTAGTCTCAGAAACTGCTCTAGGCCACAATGCTATGGCTATTAACTTGTTCCAAAACAATTCCAACAAGTACAAGAGGAGGTCACCAGGTCCATTGAAACTTTGGCAGACACTATTTGGGGCCTCCAAAATCAGATCACCTCACTGTCAGATGTAGTGTTACAAAATAGACCCACTCTGGATCTTATAAAAGCTGAAAAAAGGGAAACTTGTGTTTTTCTGGGAGAACAATGCTGTTATTATGTTAATCAGGCCAGGGACAGCAAACTGTTAGAAAGCTACAACAAACTGCCACATCTATTAAACATTCTGCCCTAGGGTACAGAGAGTCTCTCCTCTCCTCCTCCTCACCACTGGTGAATGCCACTCCTAGGACCATTGGCTGCTAGTCTCACCCTGGCTTTTATACTACCTTGTCTGTTTAAGTGTTTACAGGAGGTGATAATGGAACGAACCAAAGCCTTTACCAACCAGGCGGTCAATCAAATGCTACTACAGGGATATACTTGGCTCCCCATCTAGGAGATCACGACTTGAGATGTCGCGCCACCAGCAAAGAGTGACTCATCATCCCATGTCAGCAGGAAGTAGCTCTAGAAAATAGATCATTGTCCCTCCACCCCTCCTGAGCTTTTGAGGCCAATGTAATCCCATGCAACACTTACTTTATAAAAAACAAAAGGGAGGA